TTTTTTTTTTTTTTTTTTTTTTTTTAGAAGAGGGAGCCTTGGACAGCAGATGTTAAATATTTCTCTTTCATGCCTGGCCGGGCGTGGCTCAGCGGTTGAGCGTCGACCTAGGATCCAGGCGATCGGGGTTCGATTCCCGGTCAGGGCACATGCCCAGGTTGCGGGCTGCAGCCGATCAATGACTCTCTCATCACTGATGTTTCTATCTCTCTCTCTCTCCTTTCCTCTCTCTGAAATCAATAAAGATGTATTTTTTAAAAAACCACAAAAAACAACAACAAATATTTCTCTTCCACAGGCAAGCCCTGTTTTCCTATGACAGAGCCTGACTTGATGTAGTCTTTGAACATTCATGATATAGACTTTCAACTACAGCTTATACTATTACTAAATTTGCACTTATATGTCTATGTCTACCTAGAAGACTAGACATTTCTGGAGGTATCTTGCATGGCTTTTTTTTTTTTTTTTTTAATATGTTTTTATTGATTTCAGAGAGAGGAAGGGAGAGGGAGAGAGAGAAACATCAATGATGAGAGAGTCATTGATTGGCTGCCTCCTGGGCATGTACCCTGACGAGAAATCCAACTGTGACCTTCTGAACTTGTACAAGTCAGAGGACCAGACCCTGGAATAGAACAGATTTGTAAGGTAAATGACATCTTGTGTGAGAGATTAGTCCTCCAGTGACATCCTTACCTCATCATACCTGACCGCCCAATGGGTTCAAATTAGAAGTAGCGATTATGCTCAACGCGAACAGAATGAAGTTCCAGAAGGAACAACTTAGGCTAAATGGGGAGAACTTTCTAACAATTGCCATGCACTTTTATCATCTTTTGAGTTTCATTTTTTGAGATGTTAAAAAACTGTCCTTGGGCCTATGTAGATTTGAATAACCTAAATGACCCAAAGGAGACATGGGCCACGCTTGCTCTTAAATCCATGACACGGTCATTTTTTTCCACCTAATTTGTTTTTTGTGCTTTATTAAAGAATGGAGGCAAGCCTTACAAATGCATTAATGGCAAAACAGATGATAGCTTCTGTATAGACCCCATTAGCTATGTCAGTATAAGCTCATATGCTGAAGGAAAAGAGCATTTTATTCAATATCACCTGAAGACAGCGGAGTAGAAAGCAGCAGAAAAGAAAAACAGTCACTGAACAATTTAGTGCTGAGGAACACATGCTGTACTTTTCACCATTTGCCATATTTACTGGAAAATCAATGGCAGGTCTCCCATAGTGTGACTGTGATATGACAAACTCTTATTATAGGTTAACATCCTATTACGGCAGTTCATTTGTGTAAAACTTTCTGCTGGATTGGCAAATATTAGTAGCGTTGTCAGATAGGAAACAAAAACTAGAGACTTCTAAGGATGAGAGGGAAAGGGGCATGTCTGAGAATGGTGATAATTGTTAGTTTTATTTTGTATAAATATTACATTCAACAAGATGTAAAATTACCTAACAAAATGCACACAATTCAACAAGATAGAACAAACATTTAAAATAGAGGCAGGAATGGAGTAAAGAACAATAATAGTAGAAAGGTGATAAATTGGAATTGAGAGTCGTGTCTACATGAAATGTTGGGAGTTTTTCATTCTTGAGTGAATTGGGCCATGGATATGGCTCTGAAGTTTTGAGCAGCCAACTTAAAGGAGACCAATCAGTTTTATTATTCACAGTGTTTAATGAGATAAAAAACAAACCAGGTCATCGCTCATGAATATTCTATTTTTTCCCCCATTCCATGCCTAGAGATTAATTTCTCTTGTGGATTCTCAGACAGAGAGAGAGCACTGGAACATGGGAGACAAAAGTCTTACAGTACGTTCACAATGAGCTTACTTGTAATCTTCTACTACGTAGCCTGATATAATTATACCCCAAAGCAACAAAGTAATAAATCTTTGGGGAGCTAATAGAATGTGCTCGAGGGGTGATGCTTCCTGCTGGAATGGCATAATGAAAGACAGATTTTAAAGTATACCGCGGACTGGATGGGCTCTGCATCCTCTTGAGACTGTCTCTTTCATTTTTCTTTTTCTTTCTTTCTTTTTCATTTGAGATTGAAATTTTTAAGTACCTGGTCTAGGTAGCTGGTTAGCCTGGCTGACCATAAGCTTCAACTGTTTGTCCTGCTGGGATGAGATTAACATGCTTTTATGAAAATCGAGGAGCAACAAGAACATGTTTCCCTACAGAGGGGACCCCAGAATGTGCCAACATTTTGCTCAATGAGAACAGTCCCTTTAAAGATATGGGGAAACATCTTCTCAGCCGTGATGTTCTGAGAGAGTCAAATTAATTTGACAGTGTCGTGTCAGGGAGTAAATAAAAACTGATTTATAATTTTTTCAGTGTGAATTGAAAAAGACAAACCAAATAGAAATAACTCCAATCTCTGAAATCTGAGTCTAAAAAAACTGATAGCACAAACTCCTCTAAGAAATGTAGAATTTCAGAAATTAAGAACCATGAGAATAAAAAGATCAGGGAGAGAAAATGTATTCAAGCCATCACCATCTCTTTTTCCTTCCTTTGTGGACCTGAAACACAGACCTGGAATCCTCAGATTCATCTGCTTTAACATGCCCACCACTGTCCTGGAGCCCGACAGTGGAAGGGTTCTATTTGATTTATGTCTGTACAGCAATTGGTATCAATTTTGCTTGTGTGTTATGGTAAGCAAGTCAATGTTGATTGGATGAATTAATATTGCTGTTTAGTTTTGTGGGGTTTTTTTTAGCCCCATTTACATAAGTAAAAATCATTTTGCTAGTTCAGGAATAACCAAAAGTTTTATTCATAAGTTTACTGACTAATGAAATATATTTGCATTATAAATTTAAGACCTGGAATGAGGAAGCAAAAACATTTGAGGGCATGCTTGCCTTGAATAAAAAAAGAAAGAGCCTAAAAGTTGACAAAAGAAACAAAGCACCAAACAACTAATAATACATTTTTTTTCTATTTTTGCTCACCATTTTTCACATCTTTGAAACAAAACCAAACAACAACTAAAACCTCTTAATTATGCTCTTTTACAATATTGGTTCAATAGATGACATCCAGCATTTAATTCCTACCCAGGGAATTCAAGAACTTTGAATTTTTATGCTGGGTCCCGTGTTGTCAGAGCCGA